ATCAGTAATGAAGGGTTACTGTGCTGGCTTGTGCTAAACATCTTAAGAAATTCTTCCACAGCTCAGAGAAAGGAAATACTTCTAAATTACATATCTACTTTAAGGTCTCAGGGTTATTGCACCTTTCTTTTTACAGGGCATTTTACAGGGTTTGTCTAGGTTCAGCTCCAAGGTCCAAAGATCCCATGGGGGCTGTTTAATATGATGCTCTCTCCTTGGTTGACACTGAAGATTCTTTTTTTTTTAAACATAGCAGCTCACTCCCAAGTTTTCTGGTCTTTTCATAAAGTCTCTATAAACATTCTTCAAATGTTTCATAAATTCAATCAATCTGTTATACAGCAATATAAGATCTCCAGAATAATCTCTTCACCAGAGAGACAAAACTGGGTTTAACACAAACAAAAATACCACTATAATAAATCTCTACAGGCTATTCATCTGCCTCTTTTATTCTTCTTTTTTTCAGGCTTTGACTACTTGTCCCTGTAATTGTGAGATGCCTGTATACTTTACATTTCACTGAGCTGTTAACAAGCTGTTCCATCCATTCATTTCTCTGAAGTATATTGCTTAGCTTTATTTTAAAGATTTAAATTCCCTCATTGTTCTTTCATTCTTTGTCTTGCTTAATACCCAATGCTACATTTGAAACCACTTTGCCTATTTGCTCAACAGAACAGGGATAGCAATAAGTATCTTTCAATATTCCTCCTTTTTCTTTTATATCTGCCTCTCTGATTAATAGCCTAATGTATATTTCTGTGGTGGTTTAAACCCAGCCAGCAACTAAGAACCATGCAGCCACTCGCTCATTCCCCTTGTATCAGGAGTGAACTGTCAAACTGAGTAGAAAAGATTAATTTACACAAGTCCCCAAGATTTGCACTGTGTAAAGCAGAGACGCTATTAGCTGTCCTAAAATTTCTCAACGTTTTAGTAGCTGAAAGGTTGCCTCAAACCTACCTTGACACATTTTCTCTGGGACTTGGAAACCCAATTTTTGTACCACATTCTAGTGATTAATAAATATCAGTAATTTATGCTCATAAATTTATGGCCCTGGTCAGAAGTACTAATTTTAAAAAATACCACTATCAGCTATTCTATGTCATTTTTCAAAAGCAGAAAGCACCAGTGTGGCACACTAGCATAAAGAAACCCATTTAAACTACTGCACGTATGCATAACTAGACAATATTTTCACTATTTCTCATTCTACATCTGTGATGCCTAATGTTCTGCTCTGAATTTCCACAAAAAATCCACTTACTTCCTGATATACAATTATCATTTTGCCTCAGAGTTAATTTTAAGACATGTTAAAACACAGGAGTACATCCTAAAGAATGACCCCTGAAACTGAATTATCAGCCAATGCTGAAATTGAGTTTTCAACGTGCAGTGAGTAACAAGATTCAGACTCCTGATGTAGGGCACTCACTCTATTGATAAAATATGCTGCAAAACCTGAAAAGGCTATCAGGAGTATGATGATGGGAACAAAAAGAATCATTAGTTCACCCACACATCATTCCAAGCTGAATGACAGGTTAACACACTTGAAAGAACAGGCAAAACAGGAAAATCTTGTTATGAATTAGGATGAAAGCACTTGAAAGATATAAAGGTTGTTTGCATCAAAATTGAAGCAAAGTGGCAAGAAGCCTCAGACATTTTTTTCAGTTAAGAGCAAAATGTACTTGTCGGGACAGGATAAATTTCAAAATATTGGCCAGGACACTGCCTAGTCTTAACTATGGCTATAACAGTGTAAGATAGAAAAGATATGTGAATAAAGATAACAATATAAGCTGAAAGCAGGAACACCTGAAAAACTCATTGAAATACCCACACTAGGGAGAAGCAGACATGAGATAGTGATGCTGCTGATAGTTCATGTCTAACCAACATAGGGTTCTATGGCTGAGAGTTTGAAATGTAACTACATTATTTTACAGCAATGATCTATAGGTGATACTCACTACTCTGCAACAAGCAGCCATAAAAAATCAGATAGGAGTTTGATATTTTACCCCTTTTCTCCACTCACCTATGACCTTCCACATCCACTCAGTACACACACACACACAGAGTTCTTCAAATTTTAAAACCAGTACAAATCTAGGTGACTAACAGTCTATCACTGAGCTACAGCTACCTTAGATGGGGGGATAAAAAATAATAAAAGAATAATAGAAGCTCTCTCCCCCTTTTAGAAATGTTTCAGAGTAAGAGAGTGAACCACACTGCTGCTTTAGACAATCACAGTACATAAAAATTTATGGTTTTCAAATGAGCAAACATATAAAAAATCTAAAAAAAGGATCAATATCTGTTACCAGGCCTTCCAGTTTCTAAGGGGATTAGACACTGCTGGTTTTTAAAATTAATATTCCTCATGCACTACTTAATTGGCTAGTTTTCCAAGTGGTGAAGTTCTACAAGAATATAATTGTTTCCTAATGAACAAAGTAGGTTACAATTTCTAAAACTTCCAGAGAGAGCCCAGTACAGGACCTATACAAAAGAAACAGGCTGGGATTTTTGTTTTACCCGGTCTAAAACATTTCTTGTTTTACTGGTCAGAATACATATTCATTCAACTTCTTTATTCTCTCAAAAAGTAAATTATTTGGTTGTAATAACGGTGACATGTTTCCCTTGTCTCTTCATTAGCATCAGCTCACAGAAATACAGTTACACATAATATTTCTAAGCACTGGGGTGTCCTGCAGGTACAAACACCGTGTGCAATTCCCAGGACTCAACAGCTCTTCAAGGAGACCTGGATCTTCAGCATTGCAAAGATGAGCGTATGGTCAGTCATAGAGATACAAACACATTATTTTGCTAGTCTCCTTTTTGCTGTATATACCATCCTGGCCATGGAATACACTTCCTTTTGAGAAATCACATTGTAAGATGGGATCAAAGGATGCCACAGCATGCAATGTTGTGACATACTGCACATAACAGCAGTACTGTCACTCAAAGAGAAACATTCATAATGTAATAATCACAACTACCATCTACTTCGGTAAAGGTATTAAAAGTGGAAAGGGAATGACCCAAGAAAACAGAAATACACCACTGTACCCATTTGAAAAAGACATCACACCCAGGTCCACAAGCAAGGGGTCAAAAAAAGCCAAAGTTGGGCAGTAAAGCACAAAGATACAATAAAATACTGTTTAAATAACATAAAGATAATACACTCCCTAACTAGTAGAAAACATGAGAGATGTTTTAAACTTAATGTATAATCAAATTAATAAAATGCTAAGTATTCAGGTTCCCCTTCTACATAGATATAAATGATTTTTACTGGTTTTGTTTGTCCTCTGGAAATGAATCACTGATGTTTTCACCTAAAGCGTTCACTATTGGCTATGCATACAGACACACACAGTTTATGTCATCCCCTGCAACCCACACAAAGGTGATCCAAGCATAACTATTGTTTCTTAAACCTGTGCAGTGGTAACATACTGAAAACTGCAGTTTTCCTCTGCAATTTTGACAGATGTAGTTTACACAAAAGTTACTATATCAAAACATCATCTCAAACCAGGCTACTGGTAGTCAGAACTACAGAAGATATGAACAGGTTAGCTGTTAAAGTCTACAGTTTATCAATATGGCCTTGCTCCTTTGCTGTTTTACAATGCCTTTTACACAGGCCAGTACCTCACAAATTGCACATCCATCTGCTACTGAACCTCCATCTCAATGCATTTGTCTGCTCCTCACTGGTATAATGCCTCATGTAAACTATGTCTACACCTCTCTACTTGCCTTCTCCCTGTTCCAGCTACACAGTTCATTGGTGAAGGACACGTGTTTCCTCTCTACTGCCAGTTTTCAGGAACAGTTTCACCAAGAAAACTTTCCAATACAGTCAAACCACTGTTTGTCAATCAGCCAACTCTAGTACTGCACCACAGAGACGCATATATTTCTGTAGGAGGCACCTTCAGCAGAACATCAGGCTAAGGTGGTTGACAATATTTGGCAATCAAAGCCTGGGATGTGTGTGCTGCTTTGCAGCCTCTGTCCAGGTTAAAAAGCAGGTGCTGTTCCATACCTGCTCCCGTCCACAAGGAAACGTTTTGTGAATCTATGTTTATGCAGGTGTGAATACAATTAGGTTTGCCAGACATATCAGTTGACACTTTGGTTGTGGTTGAGCTGAGGCACCATCAGAATTTAAAATCTGAAAGGAAAGAGCTGCTTTAGGAGACAAACACATTTATTGTCTTCAATAAAATACTGTTTGATACCTTGTCTGGTGCCACGGGAAAGCACTATTGATACGCTATCTTATCTTTTTCAGATCCCTTCTGCCATCCTCAAGAGCAAACAGATGGCTAACTACAATGAGTAGATTCCACCCACATAGAAATTCAAAGGAAAACAAAGAACTACTCACTTTACAGTCACTGCTTCTCTCTGAACTGTTCCATGCATGAGAATGTCAGTTTACCTTACGCTTCCCCCTGGCAGAGCACAGCTCTGGTCTTACCTGAGCTCTGAATGGCAGCTGGGAGCACATTGTTCTTCACAGTTCATGATAAAGTAAAAGCAGAGGCTATACACAGCTCTGTGGCCCTTCATGAATGCAAAAAGTACTCCAGGCTTCTACACACAAGGTATAGAAACACACATCCTGACCCACATGCAACAGCTTGAAGAGCAAGTCACCTCTACTGCTTCCTAGTACACAACTGCCTTTCACGATCCTAAAGTGAGCTATTGGCTTTGTTTAATTCAATTAGATTTCTTATATCTCCAGACAGAATAAAATAGTATTTTTGTATACAATGTTCCTCTTAGCACTAAAAAAACATTACAGAGGTTCACATCAACAAATAGGAACACAATCAATAACAAACCCAAAATACTTCAGAATAATATTACATTACAATACATCTAGCAGCTTAGTAAAACACAGCACACACAGACTAGGAATTCTAAAATAGAAAAAAGATTTCCTTTACCTTAGAAGTCCTTATATCCCAAGCTTTAACTTCTGGGCTGAACCCTCCACAAAGGAAAATATTTGACTCTGTAGGGTGAAACTTGAGCGCACTGATCCTAAATTCTGTTTTGCTGCTAAATATCTGCTTCCCTAAAATAAAGTGAAAAGTGGAGATTAAAATTTGAGCAGAAAATGAAATATGTTATTCATTTCGATTTAGTTTGTAAAATATCAAGGTTGTCAAAGGTGAACATGCTTATATTAACACATTTCAAGTATCTGGGGCTACTCTAACTTAATGATAATAGAAGACAACTCAGTAATTTCTATCCACGAGACTGCTCCTGCTTATGGGCCTCTGAACCACTGACTGCTTCCTACTGAAAGGAGAGAACGAGTGGTTTCCCACACTAAGGAAAGGAGTTCCACCAAGGTCCCAGTTCAGACAACATGCAGGAATAAATCTACAAATCCAATGGCTGAATGTTTCCTTACAGAGATGACAGTGTTCGTTTCAGTGAGACAAAAATAACTAGAACAAAACATTGTCTGTACAGAAATACCACATCTCAATCTATATTACAATTCTTGAGTTGTTTACTTATCTTTGTGTAAAGGTAGGAGTGAAACTTCATCATGAAAGTAGGAAATAATTTGCATACCATCATATGAAGGCTGTTCCCATGGATACACTGTTCTCAACATTTAATTGTGTACACTAATCTCCACAGGATCCTGTGGTTGGTATCAAATGGATTGTCAACACTTTTGAAGGCAGCAGAATTCAGCTAGGTTATTTTATAGAACTTTTCCACAGTCCACTGCTTCCTTTCATCGTAACAAATTCATTATATTAATGTACACTCACTAAAATAAATTTTTGGAACAGCAGCAGGGACCAAGATAAATATATCTACTCATTTTCACAATATCAACTGTGATTTATATTCTACATATCACATTTAAAGATCTACATTAAATAAAGTTACTGCTTTAAGCCAAATGAGGTGCAGAAGTAAAAAAAAAAGAAAAAATCCTTTAAAATACTATGACAAAAGCTTCTTAAAATATACTTTAATCTACATTTTTTGCAAGTGATGGTTGCCTTAAAATAGGTTTTCTTAAACAACAGAAAATACTTTCAGCTAAAAACATTACTGACAGATGTAAATACTGTTAGGTGTACAATACTGAAAATCATTCATATAGATTTTTTACACTTATTTCATGATCTGAGGCCAATTTATTTTATTTCATCACCAGTTCCATTTTCTCCATCTGCAGAACTCAGTTTACACAGTCAAGAGGCTAAAACTTGTCAAATTATTTATTTATTCAGTTTAAAGATGAGAAGAGAAAGATTTTACTTCATCTCATGTGCTCATCAAGCTAGCAGCGGCAACAGAGAGGTGATGTTTTTGTATGTGAATACTGGTATTTGTAGGGGATTTTTATCCTTTTAAAGATGATTCTCCACTGATTGCCCATGCAAGATCTAAAGAGCCGCTCTGTCACTACTGAGTGAAACACTTCATTTAGTCCATAAGTTTCTTCCCCAAAATGAGAAAAAAAGTCATAAGGGCAGCAGAGGTTCTCTCAACAAGTCATATCTAACAGTGACCATCTCTTGCCATGGGAGCTTTCAGTTGCCCAACAGCTAAAGGGGAAAAAAAAGACTCCACAGGGAAAGAAGAAAGTATTAAAATCATCAGTTATAGAAACAACAAGATATTGCTCTCACGTACACCACTATCAGGCATCATTTGTGGGGGCTTTAGAAAAGCCACTCTCATCCACAGCACTTGAGAAAATACTGAATTTCCCCATGAAGGCTCACTAGTCAGTTTAATAGCATTTTGCTCCCAAAGGAATTTGGTTCCTACTAGTTCCCAGCTTAATAAAAACTCCAGGAGTATAATCAACAAGTTTTTGATGGGACTACAGCCAGAAATAAGCATAAATGCAGCCTATCTGTACTAATCCTGTCACACAGCTTAATAAAGGACACATCAAGTGACCACTGTTCTCCACAAAGTGTGTTGTCCAAACGGCATTAGACGTATGCATAACTGATCCAGTGGAACTCATCATTTAACCTTTTGACAAACACTGCCTTTACTTTGTTTTTACCTACATAAGACTTCTGAAAACTGCTATTTCTATAATGTGTACTCACATTTTCCACCCTAAGAGACAAGAAAATCAACTAAAAAGATGTGCATTAAATTCAAGATGCATTTCGTCTACTAACTACAAGCTGCTACCTTTTCCACAGAAAGATTGATTTAACATAATTTGTTATTAATTAGTCAAATTTTCAATTTTATCCCCAGCTGCTTCCAAATAATTCAATCATTCACCTGATATTTTCTCCAGAAACCAAAATGCTCCTATTTCCTACTCTGTCTCCCCCTGTTTTAAAGAGAAATGGGCACTGTATTTGCCCTTTTCTTGTCTTCTAAAGGCTGTCATTTATCCCAAAGCTCTCAGCGACAGTCACTAATATAATTAAAACATAATGATCTTAGTGTTATGAATTCTACATTACAGTGTAATAATAAATAAAATAAATGCAAACAATTAGAATCTTATTCACCTCTATATTCTTTATCTCCTTCTTTTTCCTATTTTAAGCTGCTACCTTACCACTTAATGCAGATATTAACCATTCATCTTACAAACTCAGGCTCTCCAATTAGTACTTTGAAATACAACTCTCTCTCTTGTCCTCTCACTCCCCAAAGTGAAATTCAATCAAATATCTCTTTTTGGAAACTGAGCACAGTGTTCTGAAGAGTTTGACATTACTCGATGTATATATTAATTTCATTTTACTGCCATGTCACAGAAAAGAAGCAAGACTAGAATGCAGATGAGCTAAGCAGCAGTAAACATACTCAAAAGGGGAGGATCACAATGTTACAGAAAGGAAACCCTCCTATTGCCAGGTTTAAAATTTATGCACAATACACTTGCAGAACTTCAGAAATTTAGGAAAAATATCCATCTGAGAGGTGGAACAGATCAATGCAGAAGACAACATGGAGCAAATTAGCTCAATGCCATTCAGTAGTTTGAAAGAATGGGTTCAACTCTTAGCCCTTTTCTGTACAAATTTTATTTAGTGTGTTATACTACTATGAGCAGAATTTGCTGCTTTCCCTGCTATGATGGAACTATCCCTGTAGCTTAGGAAATCCAGCTACAGTGTTTGCTAGAGATCCTCCTCCACCTTTCTGAAAATGGTTATTTACATTTACGTATTTTTTTTTTACAATTATTCAGTTTATTAACATCAAATATTCAACTTTGGGGGGCCTTATTTTATATACTGCAAAAGGTAGCCTTTGAGCAGAAGACTCCCTTATCCATAACAAAGGTTTAATTCAGCAAGATTGTATATACCCTTATTGTGTATATATTTATCACATTTTCATTCCTATAGGCAGCATTACAAAGATTCAACCAACTCATAGCCTAGAAAATTATGTCTTCTGAAAATCTCTTTGGCTAATTGAAGGAAAATCCATACCACATATCATTTTCTTGTACAAGAGGCTGTTATTCCAAAGCAGAAAGCAAATTTTCCTCTCAATCTTTAATTATCACAATTTCAGTAACAATACATCCTATATTTTTGCAGTGTGTTTTACAGTCTTTAAAGGCTTTAATTCAATTCTTCATGCACTAAAGGCTCACCACTCACACACACAGGACAAAAAAAAATCTTAAAACTACACTGAATGTATGTTTCTGCTTCTTTATGTAGCAGCCTACTGTGAAACTGCTCAACTGTGAAATCAGATGTTTTAAAGGCTATTTAACATCGTGAATTTTTCACAGAACATCAGCACAGTTACCAAACACAGGATGCTTCTGTAACTGTGTTGAATGGTCCTCAGGTTCACACACCTACCTGCATAACCCAAAAACATTTACTTCCTTACTCTAATCTGTGAAGAAAAGTGAAGCCTGAGACTTATGAGGACACAAGAGCAATCTTGCTAAGCAGAATGGATTTCCCTACTGTGTTTACAAAAAGACATAAGACAATATATACAAAAAAATTTCATTACAGTCACAGTCTCTCTCATGCACAATAGTAAGAAAAAACATTAGATTGATCAGACATAATTTGTTCTTAGAAAATCTGTGTTGGCTGTTACATCTCCATTCACTGTCTTGATGTGCTCACAAATGGCTTTATTATTTTTTCAAGAACCAAAGTTATATTAACTATATAACTATGTTTTTCCTAATTTTTCCCCTATATATTCACAAGTTCACAGCATGCAAAGATGCTTAAAATAATAAATCGTTTTATCTTTTAATCTTTAAAATGTCCCCAAAATAAATACTTTTCTCTCTTCTTTTTGCAAAGACTTCATATCAGTGAGTATAAAAAGCAAAATGCTGTCACCTCCTAGCTGGAGAGTGACCTCTAAACTATATTCAACATATTTCATAAAACTGCTGAATCTTGGGGGAAACCTTTGACCTTGTATCAAGGGTGCTTGCATGCACTCAAAAGAAAAAAAAATAAAACAAACAAGCAAACAAAAAATATCAATCAACTGGGCATTTTTCTGAGGTATCATATAAAACCTTACTGCATTTTAAAACATACTATCTAAATAGTAGTGGGAGAGAAAGGGAGGAAGATAAGAAAGTCACAGCTCTCCTGAAGTGATATTTAGGTATGAGAACTAAAACTCCTACATGAAAAATACAATTACATTGCTATATCTATAGTACTACCAAATTAGAATAGAAAAAAATATATAGAAAAGAAAATTAGAACTATCCTCTTGGAGGTACAAAATGTTCCATTAAGAAACTCTCTCTCCCATTATAACTCTGTGGAAATGATAGTTGAAATCAAGCTCAGTCCATGAACTAAAATACAACTGCAGCATTTGGTAACGTAGGAAATGTGCCAAAACTTCTTGGAACATTCCCTCTGTCATAATATTAAAGAAATGAAAAGTATCTACAATATGCAAATAGTAACAACCCAGCCAATGTTCTGCCTATGCTATTATACCAATTCATTTGTGACTAATGAAAAATCCACTGATGAATAAAACATACATTCCAAAAATAAAATAGTTGTTATAAATAAATTTTAAAAATACAATTACCCTTCTAAAGTTGGTAGAGCATCTCCATTACATCTGGAGGTAACAGAAGGTAAATGTCAAATGTACTTGATCTAGAATTGTTTTAAAAGGAATTTTTTTCAGTGGTCTCTGAATATAACTCTATTTACTACTCTGTAAATAACGAAGTGTTTGGACTATCAATAGTAGAAAATGACTGTGAGTGTGGTGTTATTAAAGATGAACAAAACCAGGGAGTCTGAGACTGCTGCATTATTATCACATTTGTGAAACCATTCAAAAGTCTTTATTTTTATAAAGAAATAATGTATATAAAATAGAACAATAAAAAAAAAAATTAACTCATACCAGGTAGCATATCTGCAGTTTTTGGATCTACCAATATTCATTAAACTCCATATTGCAGTACTGAACTTGCTTCATGCAAAGTGCAACCACAGAACCACTCATGTGAATGACTCATGAATAACCTTGAGTTCCTTAAACATTTTATGCATATTTTGGATCAGACTCATAATTCTGAATGTGTACAATGGCTTTTAAGAAAACCATATTTGTGGAGAGTCTTATCTTGACATCCTGGTGCTAGGACCATTGAAGATAATAAATGACAATCTACAAAAATTGAGTTTAAAAAAAGACTTGCACAACATCTATTTTCAACCAAACCAGGACAAGAAAACTCCTTGTACCTCATTAACTTGAATTCTTCTTCATGGTATCATGCAGGTTGGACTCATCTAGTCCAAATCCCTATTCAAATTAGGTCCAGCTGCAGTAAATTGCTTATGGGTCTGTCCACTGAAGTCCACAGCTTCTCTTAACAGCCTGGTTTAGTGTTTGATGACCCTTGAGCTGAGCCAACAAGTTTCTGTGTTTCTATATTTGTACTTTGCCTTTTTTCTTTTCATTGCACATCTCTGAGAAGAGCCTGGCATCATTTTCTCTATGTCCTAGGTAAATACTTCCTAATTTGGCCTGGAATGAAGTAGTCCTTCTTTGCTGCAAGAGAGCAGTGCTGATTCATATTCAGCACCACAACTCCCAGGTATTTTTCTGCAAAGCTGCTTGCTAGCCAGTTTATCACCAGCCTGTTCTGTTGCACAGGATTACTCCATTCCAGATGCAGGACTTTGCATTTGTCCTTGTTGAACTTCATGAGACTCCTATCAGCCCATTGTTTTTTGCTTGCAGCATCTTAGATATTCTTATACATAAGAACTTTCATTAAATACACATGACAAGGGCAAGAGGTCTGATGGTGTAAAACTGCAGGATAGGATTTCAGGATGTGTTTTCTATCCTTATATCAGGATTTCTACGCCAATGACAAAAATTCTGTTTCATGATTAATGGGATTTCAGTGTTTGCTTCTATTCTGATGTTGTTCAGATCATAGAGATTAAAAAAAATCACTCCAGAAAATGCAATATATTAGGACAAGGGATACCCAAACTGAAGTCCAATCTCAGAAACAATTTCCTGGGGAATTTATTCCAGCACTGTTCGTTAAAACTATGCTGGCACATTCCTTCGAGGAATGTCATTTAACTAGCTGTCATCAGACCCGTAACAATTAGCCAGACAACAATTTGGATTTAATAGGGCACAAACTATGTTCCTAAAGAAAACCAACAGAAAATTACCAAAAAAAAAAAAAGGCGCCTTAGCAGCTCAATACCATGCATGTACTTAGCTGTATTTGCAACCTTTCCTAAGCTTTTAAAATAATTCTCTTCAGACCATTAGGTCTCTTTTAGTGAAGGACATGTAACAATTTTTATAACACAGACGTAATATATAAAATTTGCACTGAAAACAAAGATAAGAAGGATTAGATTTTAGCAAACAACACAGGAAAAGTATTGAACCAGAACAAAATACAGAGCATAGAGCCTTAAAGAGAGCATTATTATTTATAAAAATCCCACTGGCGTGCGTTTACTGCATTTAAACATGCTGGTAGTTGGTTCATACTAGCAATGGAAAGTAATTAAGACTGAAGTCCAAAAAGGTATCTGAAAATCCTCTGTGAAAGAGCAGTTCTAACATCTATTTGAAGTTAATCAAAGAAGAAATCATCTCAGCACTGATGAAGAGTGAGGAAGAATGAATGATTCAGTGAACTAATGTAAATCAAAATCTTATAGCTGCCTTAGTGTTTTTCAAATGGAAATGAGGCTTTTTATATCAAATTGATTTGGATTCCAGAGGCAAACTGCTCACCCTGTTTCTCTGAAAGGAACTGACTGAAACGCATGAAAAGAAGAGTAACTTTACAACAGGGAAGGAACCCAGAAATTGCCTTGCATGCGAAGGAAATCAGAATAAAATTCTGATCACTAATATTACACTTTTCCAAATGAGGTGTGTATCACTGAAAGTCAGGTCCAAACATCAACATGACAACTGCAGTTCAGAGAAAGTACAAGGGCTCCTGTGTTCTTTATACAAGGCAATAATGAATACCTGGTATTTCCAAGGATGTAAGCATTCATTTTACACATAAAGTTTATTTAAGTAGCTACAAACACTACATAACTCACCCGTCAATAAGGAAACAACCATTTATAAACTTATCTGCTTTGAAACTTAGTAAATATGTCTTGTTACTGTTGTCATTTCCTAGAGCAGTATAAATGAACTACTACAATCAACTTAATCCAGATTACTATCCCATTACTGAATAGTTAAATCAAAGAGATGTTAGAAATTAAAGTATATGATTTAAATTACATATCTTTGAAATTTGTGCTATGATTTAATGAAATGAGATTTTTCCCACAGTAGTCCCTTCAAGTGACTCAGACACATAAAATCTATACTACTGCTATAAATCCCATTAAAAAGACAGCCATTCTGTTTAGAATTTGTGAGCATTACAGACAAAAGTAAATGCACTTGGATTAGTAAAATTCAGTTATATGCGAGACTAGAAAGGTTGCTGTATTGAAACTGAAAATAAAAAAAAGACAAGAAGTCTAACAGATTAATGACTTGATATATTAACCTCATGTACTACTACATCAGATATATAAACCTCTTTTCCCATTAAAAAGCCTGAATATTCTCAGAACATCAGTATTCCATAACATATTTTACATTCCCACACTACAACAGCTCCCTTTCAGCCATCATTGAATTTAAATACTTCTGGTACAACAATTGTTGAGAAAAATAAATTCTTAGAGCAAGGAAAAGTATCTTTTTCTCATGTGAACAATATTCACAAATTTCCTTGGCCACTTTCCCAGTTCATCTGAATAGGATTTCTGCTCTCCAGATATTCACATGCAATGTAGTCCTTGCTTTTATGTAAGAGAAAATCCTCTTAGACAAAAAACGCTGGTAATTTTTTTAAGAATTTTTACTGTAGTCTTACAAGAAATATTGCACCTTTGCAGGAGTTAAACACTTAAAAATAAATAAAGTGAAAAACATAAAATTGCATCTCTTCCCTTGACAGAGTCCTATTTTGGACCTAATTCATTTACACACACACACACAGATGTCCTATTATGCACAGCCCCAGTGAACACTGCTGTATGAATGGTGGTAACATACATCAAGGAGAGAAGAAATATAGCTGACAGAAGCACTTCAGTTTGTGAAAGAGAAAAGAAGAGACAGCATCCAGGAAATTAGTTTTGTTAAGGTTACAACAATCAAATCCCAAATCAAATCCACAAATGCATCAAAGCAACCCAAGTTCAGTCTCAAAGTTTCATACTAGAATTGAAGTTTCCATACTCCTAATTAAGGTCCTGTTCGGAAAAAAAACAAAAGCAAAAACAAAACAAACAAAAATAAACAAACACCCAACTAACTTTAGGCACAAATTTAAAACCAAACCAATTGAGAATGAGATACAAGCCTATGCTTCAATTAACCATATGTATAAATGTTACTGAAGGCAGTTTTAAGAGGCTCTTCAAACACTTTAATAAATGACCATGACAGAACATAAAAAATACACATTTCATTCTATTCATCTGTGTAATATGTGACAACAGAAATTACATGTGATCATGAAGTTAAAGATATTCCAGTTTTCTCAAATTTCTCCAACTACTCATAATTGATGATATATATTTTTTAAAGTAAGGACATGCTTCAGGAACTCCGACTTTCATGTACAGATTTTATCTATATAAGAAAGAATAAGGCTAACAAGATCCCAAGTTGTCTGTACACAATAAAGACAGGGCTATAATGCACCCTTCATGACCTTTACCTGTTTCTACATCTGTTAAATGCAGTGTGGAATCAAAGCCCCCACTGAGAATCCTTCTTCCACAAGACGACCACTGGGCAGCTCGAACAGCACAGGAGTGACAGGAGTATGTTTTTAAACAGCAGCCTGTATCTACAGCATCCCATACCTTAAGAAGAAGGATAAGGACAGCTTTATAAAGAATCACAGTATTTTTTCCAATGTACTGATAAGTAGCTACAGCAAATCATTGCGGTTGAAAAAGCTTTGCATTCTGGAGTTGTATCAGCTAAACTGAAAAGACTGTTAGAAATAATTGCATGGTTGATTAGAATTAGGGTATTTTATTAACAAGGCACAAATCAGTAATACATTTTTATAACTTTTTTATTTCTTAAAATGTCTACATTGCCTGCAATGGCAATTCATGTTATACTTTCCCATATATAATACTGTCCAATCTCTAAACAAATATGTATCCAGATAAATTTTACCTTTAAATATTTTTTTTCCAATTTTTGTCTCTATCATATCTTGATTTCCATCAAGTCAGAGGAATCCTAGCAGATTACAGGATTCACATCTGCCTGTACATAGGTTTTTATCACATTTCTCACTGGGTTTGTAATTTTAAGTGGAATTTTACCTTAAATTCACTGAGGAAGCAGATAAGACTATTATCACACAGTCACGTGGAGATTTTTAAGGATGGGTCTGAGTCCTCTCATTTTTCAGTTTCTTCTGGACAGAATTAGGTTGATGCTGAGCAGTTCTGAAAATCCTGTTCTACTCATTATCCAATGTTTTTTAGGTATATAACAAGTAGCACTTTCAGAACATAAATCATCCTGCCCATATTTCAAAAAGGCACTTGTTTTCAAGTCATATATTTTAGAAAATACAACTACTTTGAATTTAGTTACCAAATATAGTTGACAAAAATTAAAAGCACATCCTTTTCCTAGTTTTATTTTTGCCTTAGTTTTAAGATAAAATTAGAAGTTCAGCAACAAATGACCCATATAAAGATCCAGTATGATCACTTCTGTGACAGAAGGCTAAATATCAGAGCTATTTTCCTATGAATATTCTTCTTTAGTAAAAGCTAGATTATGAAATACCTTATGATTGTACAATACAATACCTGTTGAGTTGAATAATAAAACAGATATACCTGTAAATCCTACAATTTCATTACTTCTAATATTAGTAGTACAAATAAATCAACACTTTGACACTGCTTCATGATAATTTTATTGCAGTTACTGTAAACCCAAGGCAGTTTATTGCTTTAGAGTCACCATTTTACTTCATGGTGACTTTACAACATTACTCTTTGCAATTAGTCATTTTCATCCTGCAAAAACATGCAGAATGAAAACAACATTGCCTATAAGCTTGGAAAGTTATTCTGAATATTGGTAATTCTAACCAATTTCTCCATTCTAAGATTGCTTATATATTGCCAGGAACAGACTAGGCAACTAACAGAATACCAGCAAATTACTTTTTTTTTAAATTGAGATAAAATTCAACCTTCATGTATGTTAACACAAGAGCAATGAAGTTAGTACTGAAAATACAACTAACTGCATGTTTGTGCATTTTAAAGATGTTAAAAACAAAAACAACTTGGTAAATCAGAAAACCTAAGTAGATGTTTGCTTTCTTGTGGGAATAGCACAATTCACAATACAAGAGAATGTAAAGAGGGAGAAACAAGTGAGACTTTGGGTAATGCTTTTTTATCTTCAATTATATTTTCTTCTTACTGGACAAAAAGGACTTGCTGACAGTATCATTATTATATGATGCATACTCAGAAGAAAACATTCCATTTTAGAAAATTATTTCATCAAAGGATCTTCTATCACGAAGCACAGTTCTGCAATGCAAAGCAACCAATTATCATTAATTACTTGAATAGCCAGTTAAGACTGGAACTGTGATGGCCATACCCTTAGTATTCTACTCTATTCACAAGAAAAGAAATCAGGAAAATCTTAATATTAAACTGCTTTTGAAAGTAAGTTTCTCTGCTTTAATGAGTTTTACCGATTGTTTCAAGTTTCACAGTATTAAAAAAGGGTTAATTGTGTCTTAGAGGCTTTTAATATAAGGAAGCTAATGAATGAATTTAGATGAAAGGAAAACAGGTGGTACATGCTTCAGATATTTTTTGTCATGTTTTAGTGATTAAGTATGAAAACTCAATTTTCCCAAGAAGGGTAAAGTAAAGCAAGTTCAACAGCACTTCTGAGCTCCTGCTTCATTAAAACAAGCTGCATACATGGAAAAGGCACACCCCTGAAAAAGCGCATTTCCCTCCATTATGTGAGACCAAACAAGTGATCCACTCTTGTGGATGAGACCACTGACCACTCACAATTTTACCATATTTCTCCCCATTGTTTTGCTTTCCATCAGCTCTTCTCTGCCCAGGTAATGGTGGTGTTTCAATGCTTTCTGGAATTAGAGTCACATGGGAAAGGCAGTCTTGACTGAGGAAATTCATTTAGTTTACTGCCAATTAACATAAACTTTATAAACATTACAAACAGTAACCAGTCCATCCTTTTTCCAAAACCAACAAAATATGCAGCTATTATTAGAAAAATGATACATATTACCATATTACCTCCCCTAAATCTGTAATTATTAACTAATTAATTATCCAATATTTGAAAGAAATAAACAGCCAAGACTCAAAGCTTTGAAATTATCTAGCTATTTTCAAAGATTTTCTTCAATATCTTTCTGGCATTAAGGTATCACGAAAGCTTTAACTGCATTTTTCCAATTTTATTAAAATTGGCTTTAATTTGTCAAACTGGTTCATATTTCACTACTAGTTCTTACTCTTTTGTACTTCACTATTTATAACATTGCATTTCCATTTTTTTCCATCAATTGCTTTCATTTCATTTCTTCCCCTATTATAGAAAGTATGGTGATTACATAGTTATCTGCTAGGATTAATATATGGGGCCAAAATGGCAGGTACAAACAGCCAAGTGACAAAATTATACTAGAGACTTCTTTACAGAAGCAATTTTCTTTTTACTTTCTCTGAGGCACATTGTAATTCAATTGCTCTTTCACATTCTCCATATTGTTTGGAAATAAAGGCTCTAGAAGTTGCTTGCTTTCCTGTATAGATTAGAAATGTTGTGAAAATACTGTAACCTCTATTTTAGGTAACATAACCAGACCTCCTCACCCTTGTGATCAAAAGTTCACAAACCACATAAGCAACTACACAATATAAGAGATGAGATTTATTATAGATTATATGTTTCCAGGTCCTATTTTCTGACTGAAAGCTTTGATGAAAACAGCCTTTTAAAATAAAGTAGTTTGGGTTGAAGATAATAAAAACTCTCTTGGTAAGCCACAGAAGGAAGCACGAGAAGATAGGCACTTGATATTCAAGTAAATAGCAGTCACACAAGAAGGTTCCGAGGTCTGCTACACTATCAACCAGCTCATAAGACACAAAAGAAAGACTTTTATCTTACTGACCATCCAACTAGGAATTCATTCCTCGAAAAAAAGTCACAGCAACATAAGCAGAGCAACCAAAGTAATAGGAGAACTCATCAAGCATAGGTAGCCTGATAAAATAGGAACTGAGCACATCTCTTTCATTGCCATTCTATGATTATCTATAATGCATTTGCCTTCAAGCAAATTAGATTGCAGAAAAGAAAATCTAGCAGCATGACTTTTAAAAAGAGAAAGGTGCATCTATTCAAACAGGCAGTCACTAATTGCACAGTGAACCCGAGAACAGTGATTCAATTGTGATAAATTAGAGGTTGGAAGCAAGTATGAGGAATTAAGCTGTATGCATTTTGAATTTGCATGCAAAAAGGAGCTACAGCAGAGCCAGTCAAGAATACTAAACAAGAAATTAATTTCTGGAGCATGTGTAATGAAATTAAAAACTTTTTAGTGGATGGATTGAAGTTAATTTCAACATTACATCCATACTAAAAGAACTCTTCCCCTTCAATTTAGCCAAGTTGTGCCATTCTTCAGTAGTTACCATCTTCCTCTGTCAATGGCTCCTAATGAACAACAGTAAGAAATAATTTCAAACTTCTCAATTAATATGAATTAAAAAATGGCATTTAAGAAACAGCCCCACTCAAGGATGATGTGGGATAGTACTGATATTACTGAAAGTATAAAGAATTACTATGCTTTGACTAGAACAGATTACGTTCCCTTACAAAGCACACTCAGGTTGCTCCACAGACTTGTGAAGAGACATGAGCCTCTCCTTTCCATTTTTGGAACATCACTACCTGATGTGTCTGAAGGAGACAAAACTGATTTTGTTTTTCTCCTTTGTTTTTTAACTGCAGAACTGAATTCATGTCTGAAAGTTGAACATGCCATATCTGCTAACATGCATACTTCAAGAGAATGGTACTCCCTGAGCCATATCGCTTTTCTGATCTCATCAGTATCTAAATACTGTGATTTCTAAGAAATACAGTAGAGAAGGAAGTCCCACACTAACTATAGAAAATCATGTATTTTCAATTTTTCAAAGCAGGCTCAGAACTGTACTATAAAAGGTTCTTTGAAAATCAGTGGGCCAGAGGGCAGAAACAGTCTCACGGAAAAATTATAAAAAGATATCTTCTGCTGCTACTGCTTCTTCAGATTCCCCACTTGGATGAGGTGCAGCTTTGGGCAGGATTGTAGGAGCTAAAAGTGCCCTTTGGGTATCTCTAACCAACAGCAACAAAGATAAGGAGTCACTCACATAGACAGGTACATTCTTTTGTTCATAAAACTGAGGCAAGAGAATGCCAGGAAGAAAATCAATTAATAACCAAGCATCAGATTTGGTAGGTGTGCCTAATTCTCTCCAGCCACTGCATGACTGAATAAAAAAATCTGATCTTGAATGCAATATGTATAAATTCCTAAACTACAGAAATATTTGGAAAGTTTTGTTCTTGTTTCAATTCATGTCTTCTTAAAATATTGAGCTAAAGATTATAGTTGTAGTATGAAATAAAATTTCATGAAAAATTACTAGAGATCACTTGCACTTTTTTGTCTAAACATGTAGTTAAACTGTGTAAAAACTAAGAGCTAAGCTCCAGGAAAACCTATGAGCCAAGGTCTAGCTTTGTGTATAACCTGCCAGTG